AGCGAGTATCAAATTCCCATGCGCGGGGATCCCAGTTCTGCTCAAAGAAACAGCCTTTCCTACAGGATGTACCCCCGTGTTTCCAAAACTGGCTCACTCATAAGAATCACCTGCAAAACAGATTCCCCAGGTGGGTGCTTTGCAGAATCCGATCCTACTGGGCTGGGGTGGAGCCCTGGGGTCTGTGTTCAATCTCGGTTCTTTAATCTGAATCATACAGTGTTAGGCAAATTATGGAATCAATTATGGAATCTGTCTGTGCCTCAGTTTCCTCCTAGGTAAAATGAGGATGAGAGCTTCCTAGGTTGCGGTAAGAATGAAGAGAAGAGTGTGTATATTATCCCTGTATAATGCCTGGTGCACAGCTTCCTTTTCCTGTCTGTCATCTTAGTCTCAGGCACAAAAACAACAGTTCCTTGGAACAAATCCTTAGTCCACTTTTTTGAAAATTGTTTTTATTCATTTTTTTAAAAAATAAAAACAGCTGTAAGGGTGCCTGGCTGGATCAGTTTGTAGAGCATGAGACTCTTAATCCACATGTTAAACATAGAGCTTGCTTTAAAAAGTATATTAAAGAGAGAGAGAGAGAAAGCAAGCAAGCTGGGGAGAAATGGCTCTAAATTTTCCTGAGTATGACCTTAACTATATCTCGCTGCTCAGTGTCTTGTGAGCCCCCCAGGAGTGGCCAAGGGCGGCGTGTGGTGTCAGAGCTACATGGCATTGGCAGGAAAGGTTCTAAGTAAAACCCTGCATTCTAGCAGTGGAGCTGCAAATTTAAAAACTTCAAGAAAAAGTTTTAAAAAAGCTCTTTTCTTTTTCTACATAAAAGTTTATAAAGTGGTCGAAGCTGAGTGCTCTGATTTAAAGTGGGCTTAGGGAAGAGACCTGGCCTGCTCGTTCTCTGCCCTCGCTCTTCAGCTCCCATCATCTAGGGCTGCGCTGCAGCGGCCCCCAAACAAGTTTATGTTTAGTCCACTCCTGGATCTCAGATCAAGGATGCAATCGTGGTGAGTGATGGTCAGGAAAGGCCTCTGCTGTGTGGGCAACCCTTGGAGACCCTGCCGGCCCCGTTCCAGCAATGAAGTATCACAATAAAGCGAGTCAATACATGCTTTGGTTTCTCGGTGCATGTAAGTTACGCTCATGATAAACTGTAGTTTCTTAAGTGTACAATAGATTATGTCAAGGAAAAAAACCCAAAGTACATAACTAATTTAAAAAATATTTTATTAATACAATAAAATAGTCATTGGGGCGCCTGGGTGGCTCTGTCGGTTGAGTGTCCAACTTTGGCTAAGGTCATGATCTCATGGTTCATGAGTTCGAGACCTGCATTGGGCTCTGTGCTGACATCTCAGAGGCTGGAGACTGCTTCAGATTCTGTCTTCCTCTCTCTCTCTTCCCTCCCCTGCTCACACTCTGTCTCCGTGAAAAATAACTAGATACATTTTTAAAAATAAAAAAAATAAAATAGCCATCATCTGAGCTTTCTGCGAGTCATCATCTTTTTGCTGGGGGAGGGTCTCCCCTCGATGCTGACAGCTGCTGACTGAGCCGGGTGCTGGCTGCAGAGGGTTGGGGTGACTGTGGCAGTTTCTGAAAATAAGACGACGGCAAAGTTTGTTGCCCTGACCGACTCTTGCTTTCACAAACGACTTCTCTGTAGCACGCCACACTGTCTGACAGCATCTTACCCAAAGCAGAACTTCTTCAAAATGGGCGACGTCTCTGCACTGTGTCATTAACCAAGCATGTGTGAAATTCTAAATCCTTTGTTGCCGCTTCCACAATCTCCAAGCATCATCACCAGGAGTAGATTCCGGCTCAAGAAACCACTTTCTCGGCTGCTATGTGATGGGGACGGCATCTTCCTTTAAACCCCTCAAAGCAACCTCTGCCAGCTGTCACGGGACTGGAGTCAGGGCCCTGCGCTGGGTCAGGTCAGGTTCCAGCGTAAGGGGCTGCTGCGGCTGCTCTGACCTTCTCTCCAGATCATCATACCTTCTTCCGTGTCAGCAAGAAGGCTGTTCTGCTTTCTTATCACTTGTGTGTGCACTGGAGCGCCACTTTTATTTCCTTCACGAACTCTTCCTTTGCGGTCACAGTGTGGCTGGCTGGAGTGAGAGGCCTTGCTTTCGGCCTGTCTTGGCTATCATCAGCCTTCCTCACCAGGCCTACTCATTTCTCATTCTTGATTTAAAGCAACAGATGAGACTCTTCCTTCCCCTTGAACGTGCAGAGGTCGCTCGCTGTAAGGGTTATTTGTTGGCCTCTTTTCAATATTTGTGTGTCTCACGGGAGGGGAGGGCGAGAGGCAGGGAAGGGCCGGGTGGTGGAGCAGTCAGAACATGCACCACGTCTCCAGATGAAGTCCACCGCCTTGGATGGGCGCAGTTCCTGGTGGCCCCTGAACAAGTACAAGAGTAACATCAGGGCTCACTGACAACAGATCGCTGTCACCAAGAGGATAATGAGAAAGTTGCAAATATTGCCAGAATTACCAAAATGGGACAGAGTGAGCAGGTGCTATTGTAAAAACGGCACCAATATTACACAGGGTCGCCATAAACCCTCAATTTGTAAAAAAACAAAAACAAAATAAAAGCAAAAAAACCGATGGCATCTGAGAAGCACAAGAGAAGGCTGTACGTGTGGGTTCTCTGTCCCCAGAGTCTGGTGTCCTGGCTCTGCGTGGGGACCATGCTCGGACCGACCAGCTCCTCCCACCCGGCTGACCCTGCGAACTGCCCCCTCCTCTTTAAAGCCGCTTAAAAGAAATGTGGAATGGACACAAAGGAGCATCCTGAAAAAACCTAAATAGTGACACAACAGACACAGAAATGCTCCAGTGGGGTTAGGATAGGGGATGTGGTTCCAAGCGGCCACTTCCTGACCCCATCCTCTGCTCCATCCACCACGCTAAGCTGGAGCCAGCAGCTTACACTCAGGATCCCTCACTGGCAGTTGTCACTCCCTTGCTTTCCCTCATGCTTCTATGCCAATTTTCCCTCTAAAACACACACATGCATGTGTGAGTGCACACTGCTTAGTTTTGCCTGCTTGTATACACGATAGTCACACTGTACGTATTCCTCTGTGGCTTTTTCACTCAGCACTGCTTTAGATCGGTTCCTCGCGTTCTAGATCTTGCCATGGCTGCTCCGGTCTTAACATGGATTCGTGGGTCTGTTCCCCTCTGATGGCTTCTGGGGCCATCTCCAGGGGGGGTGTCTCCAAGGGTGGCCATCTCCAGGGGTGCCGCCTCCAGGGTGCATTTCCAGCGGTTCCTAACCGCGCCGGGACCCCGCACGTGCCCGCTGGTGCCTGGGTGCACACGCGTGCAGGTGCGTGCCTGAGCGTGGAGGAGCTGGGGACCGGCATGTGCAGCATTCACTTCGTGTGGGTGCCGCCGAACTGTCTTCTGGAGTGACCGTACTGGCTCACTCACGTTCCTGCCGGCTGTAAGCAAGTGGCCGGTTTGCTCCACACCTTTGCCAGCAGCTGAGGCCGTCAGACTCCAGATCTGCAGCAGAGGCGGAACGCGACGGTTTGTCAAAGCGGCTCCACTGGCCTCCTCCTCATTGCTGAGGTGGACAGCTTCACGGTCCGCCCTCTCTACTCTCAGCCTTCTTACCGAAGGCTCCTGAGGTAAGAGGAGAGGTGAACAGATAGGTCCTGATCCCGGGTAAGGCGCCATCCCCCGAGCCTCTAGCAGGCCCTGTGCTGGAAGCTGGGGGGCGGGGTGTAGGGGGCAGACTGAGGGGAAGAGCCCTGATTATCTAGAGGTAGAGACAGACAAGAAGACACGCACACGATCTCCAGTGAAGTAGCTCAGAGTGCTCTCGAGAGGACGCAGTACCACACAGTGCACGTGGAGGACCCTCGATGGGGGTGGACCGGGGCAGGGAGGTCAGGAGCAGGGTGTATGTGGGGCACAGAGCAGGTGTGACCAGAACGGCAGGTGAGAGCAGAGGTCACAGGTGCCGGCGGCAGGCCCAGGGTCCGGCAGGGGACTGCGGGCCTATTCAGAAGCCTCCGGAAGACCCTGGGGCCTGGGGCGAGGGAAGTCTGAGCAATGAAATCCTGGCTCTGTATACAGTGGAGATAAACTGGCAGCATAAAGAGCAGTCGGGTAAAGGGCTACACGGCCCCCAAGCGTGCGAGGAGAGAGGAGCCCCAGAACGCGCTCTGCAGCCCGAAGCTGCGTGGCGGAGGCGGAGGGGAGGCGGATGGGAAGCAGCGAAGAGGCAGGGCCTGTGCCGTCGCAGACCCAGCTCTGGGCTCAAATACTTGCTACGTCGCCCAAGAGCTGTGTAACCGGGGCGAGGATTCCTACCCTGGGCGGTTTCTCCTTCTGCAAATGGGTGGGTGCGGGTCCGCGAGTGCTTCCTGGCAGAGCTGCTGCAGGGTGGAGGGGGAGGGGGAGGAGGGGGAGGAGGAGGGCGGCCACGGCGGCTCGGGCCACGGGGCCGGCCGGCACATGCTGCGGCAAACCCGTGCTCGGCTGATGCCGCCAGCCCTCGGCAACTGCCCAGAACAGACACATTCGGGAAGGTTGTGGTCGGGGTTAACACACAACAGGAGCTTCTGCTTAACGCCTGATGCATAAGAAAATTAGGCGCGTGGGAGTGAATAAACCCACTACGAGCCTGGCGCGGCCAGAGGCTGGGAACGGCATAACCAGTGGATGCGTATCCAAGGACCGCTGGGTCCCGAGAGGAAGGACGGATTACAGACCCGCACGCGGCCGTGTGGGGAGGTAACAGGGCTGCGTAGCCGCGGCTACAAAGTGCTGGGACCGGGGGTGCGCCTGAGGGCTGGCTGGGGGCGCCCTCAAGGCCAAGACCCTAAGTGAGCTGAAGAAGGGAATAGGAAAAGCCAGCAGCACTACCACGCGAACCTCAGCAGCTACTTCTCGTCATGGTCAACACAAACCTGAACTCTGCCTGGCACTCACGCAAGAATCTGGAGGCCGCCATTCAGTAAGGAGGCACACAGTGTGGATATTAATACCTTTTAATGTTTCACATTGTGGTTTTTTCCCCAGAAGATACATAACAAAAATACATGGATTTTAATATGAATCTCAGTACAGTGGGCAATTATAGAATCTAAACAAGACAAGTCTATATATAAAGTATACTCCTTCTTGTGGGGGCAGAACATTCCATCCCACTACGAAGAGGGGAATCACAACATGATTAGGCACGAACATACCATACTGCCTATTGTTCTAACTTCAGAGACTGGCAGGCTTGGAGGGAGGAAAAAAAAAGATTAAAAAAAATAAATAAAACCGAACACAGTCGACTGCCTCAACTCCCCTCTTTCTCCCTTCCCACCCTCTTCACAGCACCGCAGGGGGGATGGCGGGAGGCAGCGCCCTGCGGGGCAGGGGCAGGCGCTCTGCTGACGGAGAGCCAGGCAGACGCAGAAGGTCCCTGAGGTGACCACGAAATGTACTTTGAACCAAGCACTTGGGGTAGCCGCTGGAGACCCAGCGGGGTAGGGGTGACAGGGGAGCTGGAGACCCAGCGGGGGAGGGGTGACGGGGGGCTGGAGGCCTGCGGACGGGTGGCCTAGTGGCCACGGCACAAGTTTAAAAGCCAACTCAGAGAAAGAGAAGCCTCCACGGACCCCTGGAACAGCACGTTCCCGCAGAAACCTAGGGCGGCAGAGCAATCCCTCTGTAAGAATACAAGGTGGGTGCCGACGGGGCTCCGACACTTCCGCCGCCAACGGTCATTCACTCAACAGAAAAGGTCAAAAACATTCGGTTTTTCAATGAAAATCCTTCACATCCACCTGTGTTCAAAAATAATAACTTACGATATTAATAGTTTCCTTAAAAAAGCAATTACCACAAAAGCGTTAAATCCTAAGTGTGGGAAGGCCTATTCTCTTATGAATGTGGTTCTCAGGAAGGGACAGATACGTAGCACACATGAAAAGTACGACGTGATATTTTGTGTTTAACTTAAAGCTAAAAGTTACAAAAAAAAAAGTTTTACACAAGTTCAATGTTTCTTATTGCAAAAGAGCTCTCTTAGACCAACATACAATAAGCTAAAAACAGGCGACCACGTATTGTTTTTCCCCACCTGAGGCGCACGTCCGCCTGCAGGGGCAGTACTGGCGGGGGTCCAGGTCCCGCGTTACAGCGCCCCCGCCCTTCCTAAACGGAATTACAGCTCCTAACAACCGGCGATGCAGCACACGGGCCAAATCTGGCCAGATTCAATCATAAATGTCCTTGCTTGTGGACACAGGACACACAGCAGGGGAGATGCTGCTCAAAAGGTGAGTCACGTAAAACAGGACACTGGACTCTTGGGACCGTAGTCTTTCAACGGGACAAGCCTATGCAGCCTCCGAGTGACCGAATCGTGCCTCTCATGTGCGAGGCCGTTACCTGCATACTCTAGACAAGACTTGCTTTGGGACAAGAATCGACTGCTAACATTTCCCATCTCTAGTAATCATGACCACCTTGGAGGAAAAGAAAAGGGAAAGAGTAATCAACAAGAAAGAGAAAGCAAAACGACGAGAATGAGCAGACCCAGAAAGGCAAGGTCGCGCTAACGCTGCTCGGCACTGGTTCCATCACCGCCCACCGCGGGGGCTTGGGGCCGGTGACTTCATGGACGCGCCCTCCGACGCGCTGCCGAATGTCAGCTCCAGTCCGTCATGGTGACCCCAGTGCGACGCCACCTGCCATCCATCCACCACCTTCTACCCGAGAGATCCAAGGGGGCCTTGGCTGCCAGAAGCACAGGGCATGCAGGTGCCAAAGCCCATGGCCCTTGCTGAAAACTTCGCCTTGGACTTGGGCAGGTTAAGAGAGCAGTGGCTTGGAGTGTCGGCAGCAGCGTCCACACTGGGGCTTAACCTCAGCAGCCGGCCTGGAGGATGTTTCCCCCAGAGCGCTTGGTCACCGACAAAGTCGTGAATACCTGCGGGGGGACAAAGCAGATTTTCAGACACCTGGGCAAAGGAGTCACAGGGAGTTAGTAGACAGCACCATACCGATCAGGAATGACGCAGGGGACTACTTCAAAGGAATAAAACAGGAAAGTAACATGACTAAGGAGGTCACAGCTTCTCCCGAGGATGAAAGGGGAAAAATGTTTTAAAACCAAGGTGAAGGGAAAAAATTTAGGCTATAACTAATAAAGAACTTTACTACCATGAGGGTGATTAAAACACATAAACGAGGCACCGTGGCTGCTCATCAATTCTCTCAAACAAATGCAGGGTGACACAGTTTGGACATGCAGGAGGGTAGAAAGTGTACTATTACGACCACCCATGTGTCTGTACCCTCTGCTCAGGGATTACAAATGTGGCTAGAACCCTACCCGTGCCCCCCAGCACCTCCTTCCTCCCCTCCCCCCAGTCAGTGCTCACCATTCCTATACACTTCCTGCATTCCTTTTGTAGGTTTTTCAAAACTTTGCATCTAAATAGCAAGATGACAAACCCACTCTTCTGCAGCCTGGCCTGCTTTCCGTAATTCACCCATATGGATACAAATAGCCATAACTGTTCCATTTTTCACTGAATAGTATTCAGTTCCTCTAGTATATGAATATATGCTGTGTACTACAGAACTCAACAATCAAACAGTGGATACACTACAAATGACACGCCCAGGCCCCTGGAGCTGGCTATCCCAGCTACTGCTCATATGTTGTCTGCAATACACTCAGTGATGTCCAGTCTTCTCCCTGCATCCAGAGCTAGACATATGACTGATAGGGTCCAGGATACGCGTCACTTCTATGTGATTCCCAAGGTGCCTGACCAACTGATACTTTCATCTGGAGTGACTGCTGAGGCCACCTTGTGTCATATCCCCGTAAACACTAGGTGATTATGGACTTAGAGCCTTAACGTCTTTAGGCGCTGTTTACTGACTACACTCAAGTGTGTCTCTACACAAAAACAATGATTCTCATACTTTAGTGAACAGAGTCTATTAGCACTGATTAAAATACACAGAAATTATACTGATCCTAATATGGCAGATTTCGGGTAGGGCCCAGGAATCTTATTTTTAGCAAGAGTCTCAAATGATCAGATCCATTCTAATGCAGATCTGTCTATGCACCGCACAGCAGAATTTCTTGTGGAGCACCAGCGCAGGCAATGCACTGTGAATTCCTGGCAAAATCCAAAGTCTGGAAGTCTGCCCAGTGGTAAGCACCATCAGTTGCTTATCTTTGTAGTTTTACCAAATAGGAAGCCTACAATCAAGATTTTTAGAAATCTAATTACTTCTACACATTTAGATATAGATTTTAATTCCTGATCTAATGGAGTAATTGGTACCAAACCAGTTCTCTGGACAAAATACACTGAACCACCTATTTTAGACACCAGACAACAAGCAGCGCACTGTAATTCCCTAAAAAAGAGAAACAAACAAGGGGAGCCTTCAACAGCCCCAGCTTTCCACCTGGAAGCATCTACAAGACCCTGCCTGGTGCAGTAAGAGGAGCTCAGAGAGAATACACACATCCCCTAAGAGACAGAGGGGACACTGGGGCAGCAGAGGCGGCTGGGATTTGTGGGGTCAAATTCCCAAGAGGAGGCAGCCACCCAGGGAGAAAGCTGTCCCCTCATCTCTGGCTGAATACCAAGCTGTGCACGTCTAGAAGGCAGGACCCCACGAAGCCAGAGGAGAAGCTGAACCACCACCAGGACCCACTCAGGGCTGGGCGATGCTCCAGTTCTCCCCAGCTGGAGTCGGGAGGCTTCTCTGAGCCAGGCTTCTCTGAGCCGTCAGCAGAGACCCTAGAAAGCCACATCTAAAAATAGGCTAAGCATTACTAGCCCCAGCATAAAAGCTACTGTAAACCACCCAAAGCGTAAAAACAAGCTTCCAAAGGACCAAATGCCGCACAAGGACATGAACTGTCTACCACAAGAAAACTCAGTACTCTTTAGAGGAGACAACAAAACCCAGGTGCCTGGCACAGATTTAAAGTGCTAAAGAAAGAAAATAACTGGTCAACCTAGAATTCTATAAACAACAAGAACCTCCTTCCACGAAGAAGGCAAAATAAAGACATTTCAGACAAAGCAAAGCTAAGCGACTTTGCCACTAGCAGACCTCTACTACCAAAAAAATGGTAAAGAAGTTCCTCCAGCTCAGGGAAACGTAGCAGGGGGATGACGCGTTTTCGTGCCGTCACCTCGCCACCCAGGGCCAGCCCGCTCTTACGCTCCTTCCTCCTCCGTAACTCCTCCTTCTGCCAGGCCGGGCTTTGGCTCTCATCCCCTCACGTTCTTATTTCATACATCACCCGAACCCAACCCTTTTAATTCTTCACCTTGCCTTTTCCATTGGCTCTTGCTCCTTGCCTTTTCCAAGGGCTCACAGGGCATGTATCCTAAAGCAATCCTCCCTCAACCTTAGGATCGCCTCTACCACCACCGTCTCTTATCCTCTTTGCGGATACCACCTTCGGCTGTCGGTACTCATCATCTATTTTTTATTCCTTGTTCCACTGAAATGAGGCCTCCTTGCCCGCCAAGCCAACGGAGCACCTCTCCCGTGGTTCATCAGGGCCCCCCAGCTGCCTAACCCAGAGGGCGCCTCGCGGTGGTCCCTGCACACGGCCTTCTGCAGCCCTCGTCGTCCACCTCACCTCCCTCTGAACAGCTTTCCTTCCTCCTCTTGTCCCGTGAGGACGCCCGTGCCCATGTGCCCGTCTTGGGGCTGCTCGCCACCATGGCACCAGCGTGCGGGGACGTCTCCCCCGCTAGTGGCTGGCTGAGCCCCCGGGGAAGGCAGGCCGTGTGGCCCAGCCACCCGCTCCGTTCACTCAGTGTTGTACACACGTCGCTGCGAGGCCCGAAGGTGCTGCCGGGCATCCGCCCCCAGCGCTCCCCCTCGGACACCCTCACATCACCCGTCTCAGCCCGCCCACCCCTCCCTTCCAGGCAGATGAATCCACCATCTCTCCAGCCAGTGTCCCGCCTCAACCATACGCGGGTAAGGCCTAACGCACACCTCTTCCCGGGTGACACTGCAAATGGACCACGTCCACACGAACCCTCTCTCGCCCTTAACCCAGCTCCTCAGTGAATGCCATTACCAGGCCGCACATCTGGAATTAATGCTTAATTCTTCTGTCTCCATTCCTGCCGGTAAGGTCTGACATCGCCTCTTCTCTGTCAAATCTGATCTTTGTGTGAACACTGACACTTAGTTCATGTCTTTATAATTCTGACTGAACTACTGTGAGATTTTTGCTAGTTTCCAAAACATATAGTGCTTTCATCTTCCCGTGAAGGCCTTTTGTGTAGACCGCGCATTACCTACTTTCGCCCTATTAGATGTTAGGGGCCCCGGGCTTGCTCCGGCTGGGGACACACGTATGGAAGTGGGACATGTCCCTTCTGAAAATCTCGAGCACCAAGGCTTGCCCTGGGAAGGGGCTGCCTCCTTAGCGGGGCCTGGAGCGCAGCGGCACGAGAGCGGGGTCACAGGGGATCCGTGATGCCCACACAGCACTGGCGAGGAACAGACCCAAACCACCACCCCAACTGCCCATCTGTACTACCCAGCCGTAAAGACATAAAAGGGCTTTGTGCTCAATTAATTACATTTAGAAATACACTTGGTTACTGAGTACAATTAAGATTTCAACTCAAATCTTTCTGGCCCCACCAAGCAAGCTGGAGGGAAACACTGGTACGTTTCTAGCATCCCCAACACACAGGCCGACCTGTAGCCATGAAGTGTCTGGTAAGACTGGCGGCCATGGCTTAGCTGAGTCCCCGGGGGAAGCAAGGCTCAATGAGTGCCTGTCTCCTTGTTGCACACCTGAACAAACCTTTTGGTCAGCTACCCCTTGGATTCCTGAGAAATAATTGGTTTCCTGGTTTGTAATACAATGAGGGAAAAGTACAAGAAATCAAGGCCACCTTCACTGATGCAAGTCAACGCAAGAGCAATCAGCATCAAAACTGCTGCTGAATAAAAGGAGAAAATACTTTTGTGTAAAGAAGAAACATTACTGAGAAAAGTCCTTGGTCCATTTCAGCCTTAAAGCAGTGACAAAGCCTTTTTACCCCCTGTATGCCTGTAATATATCATCAGCACTTTAAAAAATGTAGACCCACTGGACAGTATTTAGAAACATTACAAACATGAAGGCAGAAAATATGAACAATTCACATTAAAATAATAAGACATGCACCTTTGTCAGCAAAGATATGTAAAAGTCTTTGAAAGTTATCCCTTTCATACTCAATACAGAAAAAAATTTATTTACAATGACTTTTGCAACATTTTCATCAGCACTTTAAATTCAATGCTGAGGACACTGTAAATTATTACAGCTCTTTTGAAAAGCAATAAAATTCCTTTGTTCAAAAAAAAGTGCAACTGTGGGCGAGGACAGAAAGATAATACACAACAATGAAGACAGCTATGTCAAGATGGTATCATAGGCAGTTACAAGTACTATCAAACACGCTCATTTCCATTTGTACAAAGGAAGAAAAGCAAAGAGCCGAGGAGTACATTACAACAAATTTCAGGCTACTGTTGTACAAGCTTAAGTTTTATTTCTCAGGAATTGTTTTAGAAATAGAAGTGGCAGGAGATTTGGATAGAAAACCAAGCCCGTCAGGGGTGCCTGGGTGGCTCATGTCAGGTAAGCATCAAAGTTTTGGTCTCGGTTCAGGTCATGGATCTCATAGGGTTCATGGGTTCAAGCTCCACACCACAGGGCCTGCTTGGGACTCTCTCTCCCCTTTTCCCTCTTGCCCCTTCCCTGCTCACATGCTTGCTGTCTCTCAAAATAAATAAACTTAAAAAAAACTAAACTCATCAAAACCCAAGATTTTTTTAAAAAGGAGCTCTTACTTATTTTTCTTGTACCAATAACATACTTATGGTAAAGCATGTGCGACTGTTGATTAGTGCAGATGAAAAGAC